GAGCTTTCTCTAGCAGTGGAGGAGGAAGAAGAAGAGGAGGAGGAGGAGGAGGAGGAGGATGGAGAGTAGGCACTCTCTTTAGGCCGAGCTCCCTGTGCATATGTGGAGGTTACCCTGTCTGTCTGATCTGAATTGAGGGAAGAGAAGAGATGTTAGTGTGAGACTGGCTTCTGTGTAACAATACATTTAGAAAGATTGCGTACTGTGTCTTTTTACATCACAAAATATGCTTACACAATGAGGAAGCCAATCCAGAAGCCCTAGTCCTTCTTTCTCCCAAACTTGAGAGACTGGGCTCATTCTTTGTTTCCATCTCTCTCGTGGACAACAGCGGCTTTGAGGAGGAAGATGATGACCGTGAGAGTAAACGGCACGAGCTCCATGAAGAATCATACGTGTCATTTTGTTTTTCACCTGTACCTGTTAAGAAAAAAGTAGAACAACTGTTTTGAAAACTGCTTGGTTCATTTTACAATCACTTTAATATTGATAGGAATTAGCAGAATTTGACTTGGCATCTCAGTGAGGTTCTCTCTACATTGCTTTTTTTTACTGAGAAAATGTGATTATTTTAAGTTTAATCATCACTAATTTCTTAAAGTTCTGTCAGAAGTGTCTAGTGCCTAGTTGAAATTATGATAAATGGCAACTAAATTTACTGTTGACAGAGGTCATGAAATCAGGCTTTTGCTCAACAACCTGCTCCCAAGTGACAAACACATTTAACATCTGGAGCTGGTTTCAAGTTCAAACTTACCCTAGCTGTGAACAATGACATTAAAGCCGGTTGAAGAACATTAAGTAGTTCTTACATAGAGATATAACCTGTTCAGACAGAAGACTTAATGAGAGGCAATGGGATGGCTCTGACTCTTAAAACTGTGTTTAATAATTATGTAAACTGAATTTTAAAATGATATTTCCCAAGTCAACAAAATATACCTCAAATTGCAAAAAGAAAATTCAAACATTAAACCAAATAGTTCTTGTTAAGTTAGAATAATGACATATTTACCACTCATTCTAGACTTTATTATGCTACTACATGTAAAACAACTACTCCTCTGTGTATGTATGCATGTAAAAATGAATTCGTAATTTACGATAAATCATCTGTTAAGTTTACTATACCCATTTGGCCTCCTAAAAAGATTATTTTTGGCAGTTTAGAGCTTGTGAGGCTGCAGTAACTTCCTGTTTATACATACTTAATTTAGCACTGCACATATGCTGGCAACCGATTCCCACACTGCTTTTACTTGTTAAGAAACTATTCAGTAAGCAGACGTAGTAGCTTGGAACTACCTAATAGTTACTAAT